AAAAGAGTTTGTAAAATATGCAATCGAAAATTCCGCTCATCAAATATCAGTACGATGAAGACACATTTCATCGAAAAACATAACGAGATCTGGTGCCAGATTCGCTATCATCCATTTAATCGACCAAGGGCTGATAATAAAAAACATTCGATAATATTTTATTTTCGTAAAAATAAATGTTTAGTCTGTGGATATATGTTTCAAACAAACCCCAAGGTATCGACTATGAAAAAACATTTCGCCACAAAACATAATGGTGATTGGAGAGAATATGTTAAGAATAGAAAATTTAATAAAAAGTTACTTCTCGCACAAGAAATTGTCAAAAAGAGCGTAAAGAAACCTGATACAAGTAATCCGATTCGAAAACTTCAAAACACCAAATCTGTAGAGAAAAAAAATATTGTTAGAGGAAACAAAAATTTTAAGAAACCTTATGTTATCGTTAAGAAAAGTGATCCTCCCGTGACAGATTTAAACCGTGAAATTATGAATAAGTATTTTAATCAATATGATATGATCGATATGTTTTGCTGTAATTTTTGTAAAGAGGTTATCTCACCAGAATTGCTTAGATTACACTTGATATTAAAATGTAAACATAGATTATGATAGATATTATCCCTTGTAAAGTTTTATTATAAGTATAAATTCTAGTTACGATTACTAGTTATAAGATTTGATGTGTAACCTTAATAATTATAAATAAACTCGTAAGGTTATGATAAGAAATTAACTATGCTTGAGGCTACATTTGCCAGGTCATCATTGTTTAAACGAATAATCAAATCAACCAAAGAACTTGTAAATGATGTAAATTTTCGATTTACGGAATCAGGTATAGAGTTCAGTGCCATGGATGGGTCACATATTTCATTCATCTCGGTTTACCTTGATTATGACGATTTCCAAGATTATACCTGTGAACGAGAGATAACAATCGGCATTAGCCTTATAACATTAGACAAGGTATTAAATCGAGCGGGTGACAATGATACCTTAACCCTGAAACTTAAAGAAAATACTACTGATAGGTTATATGTGATATTTATAAATTCTGACAATAGTAAAGAGACCAAATATGAGATCAGATTACTTGATATCGACCAGAAGCAAATTGATATACTAGCAGTTGTATACAATGTATTTATTGAAATGTCATCCAGTGAGTTTAAAAGAATATGCCAAGATCAAACAATCACAGGAGATCACCTAACCATAACTACTAATCAAGAAACAGGGGTTGTGAATTTAAATACGAAGAATGATATTAACATCAGGTGTACAACTAAACTAGAAAAAAATGATAGCATTATGAATGATAAGATAACGATCACAATAGGAGAAAATATCAACATGTCATTTTCCCTAAAATATCTGATAAGTTTCACCAAGACATCTATATTGTCTCAACGAGTAAAGGTCTGTATATCAGATATGATACCATTGCTTATTAAATATGAAACCGGAAATACGTATATCCATTATTACCT